TGCGCGAAGACGCAGAAAACTTGTGAATATAAAAATATTAAATAGATCGTGAGATATGAATATTCTATGGAGTCGTATTGGCGCGAAATTAAAAAAAAAATAATAACCGTGCTACGCTGCGTTTCGGTGGGAAAGTGCCCGACTTACTTAACTCTGCATGTACTAATGTATTGAAGTATTTCTATCAATTGTTATTAATTCCAATACATAATAGTTTTTTGCGACTCCGGCTGCTTGTTTTCTGAAATAAAATGTAATATGTCTATCCTCAGAACACAATATGCATTCATGTCCACATCGTGTCAAACTTCATTAAGATCAAGTCATGAAAATGTAGTATTTCTGTGCACTACCCTCGATATACAATGACAACTGTATATATACTGTAAATATTGAATGTTGTGAGGACACAAAACCTTTGAATTTTGTGAAAATTAAATTTAAGACCTGGACATAGACATCTTCGATGTGGACATTTTGCTTTTTTATAGTAGAATTACAAGTCTATTATTGCCTAATATTATTAATTATTAAATAATATTACTTTTGTAAATATATGACTAAAAATATAATAATAATATCTCTGCACAATTCACACAGCGCCATCTAGTCCCAAGCTAACCAGAGCTTGTGTTACGAGTACTAGACAACTAATAAAATACATTTTTTGTAAATACATATATAATATACATACAAAACACGCAGACAATCATACTCATTAATATAAGAATAATTGAGGAACAGAACCCCGACCAGTAGATGTAAAGCGATGTGCTAAACCGCTAAACCATCGTGGCCGTCGTAACATGAAAACTCGAGCAGGTGTCATGGCGTCAGTTCTGACGTCACTCCCACTTACACATATTGATATTATTTGGCAGAATGTTACAGGAAAACTGACCTGTCTAGTTTGACGTAATGTAATTCAGATAACTTGTGGATTTTATAAGCTCTTCTTCTTCATCCTCGCCTTTTCCAGTACCGAGGGGTCGGCTTTCATAATCCTGACCCGCTATACATTTTGCTGGTAAGCATCGTCATTTGACAGGCCCAACTCCTTCATGTCCCTGTGGACATTCGTCAACCAGGTAGTTGGTGGCCTGCCTCGTTCTCTTTTTGTTGTAGCCATGGAAAGGTACTTTTTCACAATGTGACTTTCAGGTTTACGCAGAATATGTCCATTCCACCTTGGTCTACATTATTTTTATAGATACTAGCTGACCTGATAAATGTTGTAGTCGTCGTGAATGTATCAATCGTTAATGGAATGTTAAAATAGTGATTAAGTTTTTTGACATTTTCACCATGGTAACCTTTGTAAAAATTATTTACGTGGGTACTCGAGTCTCATCTATTCCAGCCGCCAAGCAGCTTGCTTTATAAGCCGTATTTTGGTCGTCGGATGAGATTATACAGTGAAATTACAGGATAAAAGGCATGACATTGTACTTCTCTGATATTACAACGCAGGATTAACTGTTTAAAAATAATATTTATGTACGGTTTGATAAATATTCCTACGTAATACAACCATAAAACAAACAAATATACATGGTACTAGTTAAGTCGTTTTTAAGTTATGCCTATATACTAGTGACATGTCCTGTCTTCGCCCACTTGCACATAGTTTTGTGTCAATCTGAAATTATGCACTTTATTTTTTTTTATAAAAGGTTTCGGTTAATACTCCTTAGCACCAAAGAGATTTGTAGCACTGCGACCTGCATCTGCGATCTGTGCTCGCCCTTTATTTGAGTTCGCAGTCTAGGCCTGTCAGGGACAAGAATTGAAGGATATTCTTAGGAGCGATGGTTGTTATCTCCTCACGATAGAGTGTGTACTTTCCTAAGGTCATATTATTATGATGTACCTTATAGATATAACTTACCTTTCAGACAATTTCTAAAATTTACAGAATTTACATTCCTCATGACAATATTCGTTCTCTCCCTTTTAGTACTAGTATGTAATATTATCTTATTTGTGGTTACTCTTGTCTGTTGAAGTTTTTAAAACTTCTTTCTTAGTACATACTTACGTTATAAAATAAACAAACGCTCCAATTTTCTGATTTCTGGACTTGCAGTTTATGTTGAACTAGCTGTTCCCGCGTCTTCGTCCGCGTGGAATTTAACTTTATTTTTATAAAATTAAAGTAGCTTAAAGAACTAAAAATTATTTTACGTCCTAATTTATTCGTTCCATTAGGTATTCATAGGTTCAAACTAATACATTTACAACCTGCATCATCCCTTATTTTATCCCCATGGGGGTTTATCAAAATGCTATTTAAGTGCACATCTTCATCATAGTAGCTCCAATCTTTAATTTTAGTTCAATCAGTCGAAAATTTAAGATTTTTCAAACTTTCATCCCCTATTTTATCCCCTTAGGGGACGAACTTATCAAAATCCTTTCTTAGCAGACGCCTACGTCTTAACATCTACCTGCATGCCAAATTTCAGCCCGATCCGTCCAGTGGTTTGGTGTGTGCGTTGATAGATCACTATGTCAGTCACCTTTGAGTTATATATTTAGATGTTATGTACCTATGTATACTGTACTCAGTTATAATCTATTATATAAATATACATAATAAAAACTTATTATTATTATAAAAATTCAATACGTATTGGAGTAAATTTAATATTACATACACTCAATAATGAATTACACACAAAATTACAAATATTAAAACCTTGTAAAGTCTACTTTGTATTTAAAATTTTAAAGTTCATTATGCACAATATTAAAATATTGTGTTAATACAGTCCATTTCGTTCGACGTACATCAATCGTAAACTGCATGTACCTACATGTTTTGCAGATTTTGTATTTCAATTTTACCTGACCGGTTCGTAATTTTAATTACTTTATTTCACCAATACAATATTTTTCCTTACTATTTTATTTTATAGTAAAAATGTGAAAGTAACTCTGTCTGTCTGTCTTGCTTATACGCCAAAACTACTGAACTGATTTAAGTGAAATTTGATACACTAATAGTGTAGACCCTGAGAAAGGACTGGGCTACTTTTAAAAGTTGTAAGGTGTTGAAAGGGGAGATGAAAGTTTGTATGAAAGTATTGTCATTTTTAAAGTCAGAAGCTTGATTCTTATTTTTTAGGCTCTGGATTAAAATATTACATTAAAAGTTTGTAAAAATATCACCCATAAAGGGGTAAAATAAAATAGGGGATGAAAATTTGTATGGAAATTCGTCATATTTGGTATTAGTTAAAACAACGAAATTTTGCTTTTGCTTTTTTGGGTTAGATTTTTGAATATTTTTATTTATTTGTTCAAGGTCGCTATAACACTTGGTAATTTTAGATAGCTTTAGATATTGCCTCTTTCCACCTTCATGTATTTATAAGGAAATTTATGAGAGAAAGAGTGATGCAGTAATAGGTAATATGTCAGACAAGGACAGATATACAGTCAGTCTTTGTACAGATTCTAAAAAAAACATTTGATGCATAGAAAAAACAAAAGAGGTAAGGAAAAAAGTATTTTTATTTTAGGTGTCTATAAAATTAAACAGGCACATACGTACATTGATATAGGCCAATCATGTGGTGTGTAGGTGTAGGTACCCATTTTGTATTTGACTTTTTAATATTCAGCTTGGGAATTAGTTACACAATATAGAAATAATGTGTATAAAATAAACTTAATATTACAATTAAATATATATTTTCTGAATCTGTCACCACATTGCACAATTAGATAAGAACAATATTGATTAGTGCTGATTTCAAACAAAGACTTTATGTGAATACAGTCTACCAAATAGCAATAAATCTTATTAGCAAAAAAACTATTTTCAAACAACGAAAACATCGGTTTAATAAAATAATGCTATTATTAAAAGTAACTCAAATAGTATTTACGCAGATCTTGATCAAATTTATATGGAAGCATAAGCTTGCAAATAAAAATAATAATTATAATTGATTTATTTAGAACAAAGCTGTAAGGTAAAACATAAAAGAATACAGTCGAATTGAGAATCTACTCCTATTTTTTAAGTCGGTTGAAAATATATAAGTAAGTATATGAGATAACAATTATCAGTATCATAAATAATTAATATATTGTTTGTTTTTGGTAACATATATCTATATTTGCGGGTAGATGTTTTCTTGCATATCAAATAGCCTAATGACAGACTATTAATTGGTATGTTCTTCAAGTTATATAGATATTAATGATATCAATAACTATATAATAAATTTGTTTTATACAGCATCCTTCCTAGTAGGTTTAGGTTCGATCTCTGCACAATAATTATGTATTCATTAATTTAATAATAGGGTACAAATATCTGTATTTTCTATATATACATATGTACTAATAACTATTAGCAGTGGATACGTCTGTTTTTAAGATAAAAGATACTGTTCTCATGTTGACATAAAATTTTATTAACATCGATTCCACCATTAAGTGGTGAATAGGTGACATACAGACAGACAAATTTATAATACGAGAGTTTAAAAAAAAAAGTAATAAAATGTGTATCAGTTACCCATAGCCTCCTTATATGATGGTCTGGGGTACAGCGGTTTAGCACACCGCTTTACTTCCAATGGTCCCGGGTTCGATCCTCGCACAGTGCAAAGATTTGTATTCATGAGTTCGTATTGGCCTAGGTTTTTTCAAAATATAATTTTTATTTACAAAATAATGTCTAGTTTCAGTTGTCTAGTACCTATAATAAACAACTTTTGCATAGTTTGGGACTAGATGGCGCTGTGTGAATTGTTCAGGGTTATTATTATAGCACCGTTTAGTTTGGTATTAGCACAGACAAGATAATATTTATTAGGTATTGTGAGAATTGTCCAAGTTCATTTATTTCATCCCATTGTGAAAAGAAAACTTGGTGTATTAAGTAAATTTGACATTCAATTAAAATGCTTCAGGATACTGTTTCAATTTCCTTTAATTTGTAGAACGCGTAGGATGGTAAAGAAGAAATAATTAAAAGTAGAGCATCGGTCTCAAATCATTTATTTTCTAAAAAAAATCTCACATTCCCACACATAGGGAAAATATGGAAGCCACGTTCGTAATAATTAAAACATTTGCGATGATAATGTATTGGTCACTCATGCGCTTTTTAAAAAACAATTTATTAGACATATATTACAATATCAACGTGGCTTAAATAATTATGGTACAATGAAACGAACGACTTATACAATACATATGTGCGTCTTTATATCATCTTGTAATATAGCTTCAACATATCGTAACAACTACTGAAATTTTTACACGGAACAACTTCATTTGTTCGATTCAACTAAGTTACCAGTTAATCAACAGCCCCCAAATAATGGCGGCCGACTGTACAAGCGCTTATTTTCATAATTCATAATGTTATGATTCATCAACATTGTACATACAAACGCAAATAGTATAAAAAAGTAACGGTCTAAATGTACAGACTGTCAAAATAATTTCTAAATGCAAATATAGCCGTAGACACGACTATAAAAACCGGTTAATCCGTATAAAATGGCCAATAGTAAAGGAAATTCATATTTCGAAGCTTTTTTTTAAATACGTAGCGATCCAAATAAGGTTGGGGAAACTAGCACAAATACGACACACAGGCTAGGCTAATATCACAGGAGTGCTGGGAACGGCGCGGAGTCCAATACCCCACTCGCGCCCGCCACCACCACGGCCCCCCCGCCTTACCACCGCCCTAACCAATCCCCCGCGCTCTTCCTCGTACCTATTTACTATTCAGAGGGGGCGCAACGGGCTACTACCAATATATTTTGCGACAATTAAGATTTCAAAAGAAAAGGAACTTGGCTCTATTCGCTCCAATTGCACAATATTGATTACAAAGTCATTGCACAACCAACATTTGCACTTAAACACCAATGATGTTTCACAAATAACTAACAAAGGTATAAATTATATAAAATTAACAGTGACATTGTTATTATCAATATAATACCGACAAAAGGTTAAAATGATGTCTGGAGGTAACTTTGAAAAACAGTTCAATAAAATAAAATGAAAACTAAAACAATCGATACGTGGTAGTCAGATCTAGTGAAATGCAACATTTGATCAAACATTTGCACCTCAAGTGCCTTATAAAGTTGGCCAATAGGCAAACGTTACCTAACTGAATTAAAATCGCATGGCCATACAGAAGTCCAAAGTAAAATATTTTACTACGCTCTTTGTTTCATTTTCAAACATCTACTTACTTACAATGACAGTGTCTATTCAAAACCGGTTTACAGTAGCGACCCAATCTCACTAAAGGCAACACAAAACAATATCATCCATGTAAAATAAATAAAGTGAAAATGTTTGACGTGTAACTATGACGGGGTGTACGCAACCGTTCCCAGTCGTTTTGCACTATCTCTTAACTCACTATTAATATAGTACAATAATGTAACATAATAATTAGACCTTAAAACTATATTCATCAATAAAAACCATAAACATCCATATAGGTATTTGTTACAGCACGAAGCAGCGACATGACGTGGCGCTACTTACATTAACAAAACGCACTTCGAGTCCTCAGTTCGATAGTAAAATTAATCGTTGAACACTAATTGGACCGCGCCCGTCGGCAGCGCCTGAGCAACTTTCACTAAATAATAAAAAACACTAACAAAGTAAGTACTCTTCTAAAACAACAATGAATTGGCTAAAGTCTGTCCGTTTGGGTAACGTAAATTAAAACACTTGACCGGTATTCGAGTCGATCGTCCATCGTTTCGTATCGACTCGATCCTGCGACAAAATCGGAGCACATATCCGAGCGCGTGACGCAGCGTGTGCGCGGTCAGCGACACGAGCGCTGTGGGACTCCCGAGAGCTTCATCCGACTTGCTCGCATCACAGTGGAGTATGTAAATGCGCTGGACGGCGCGGTCATGAGTCCAGTACTGTAAGCAGGCCGCTCGGCAACAGAGCTACGTCTTGACGAGGCATCTGTCTGGCTAGCTGTGCGCATCCGAGGTTCGCGTCACCCAACTCAGGTATGGCATCGAGGAGCGCGAGGCATTCATCCTCGACGGCACGCCTACTCTTTTTCGCGATCCAGGTATCGTCGCATTCCTCTCTCGCACGCCTCCGCCTGGCCTCCTTCTCTCTACGGACCTCTTCGCTCAGTCGGCAGTAAGTGTTATTGATGCATACGGAACGACGGAGGTCACGGGCTGGGTCTTCAATGTTTTCGAGTTTTTGTGAACAGATCTCTATGACCCGTTTGCGCTCCTCGTTGGCGCGGAGGCGTGCAGAGATCATGGAAAGCTTGGGTCTGGCGGCGGCTGGCTCGGTGCGTGGTGGGCCGAACATATCGTCCTCGAAGGCGTCAGCGATCTCCGCTCCCCGTGCACTTTCCCGCTCCTCCTGCGGCGTCATTCTGCAACAAATAAATAAATATATTAGCAATCATTAGCAACTCTACTTTTAAAATTTTTAGATTACCTAACACACATAGTTTATACTTATATTTACATTAAGGTAAAAACCTTGCTTAAATACGTGACATTCAATATACTGATTTTAAAAAATAATATATTTATGACATAAATAATCAACAATCTAGTGAATCTAATTATACAATTGCCAGTACTAGGTCAATCAGAGAACAATGCTTATACGCTTGAACAGGCTAATCAGGTTCGCAACTTGCCATCCGTTATATTCTTTACAACAGTAGAATATGAACAGATGGTCGTCAAAACTATTTTGAAAGTAAATAATAAAGTAAAGTAAACTTTTCTTATCAATAAAATAGACACACCTGGAGGACAAATCAGTGGAAATGATGTACCATCCCGACATAAACATGTTAAATAGCTATTAATATAATTGCCCTATTTAAAAAAAAATACTCGTTCAATATCACAAACAAAGTTCATAACACTGGTGAAATACAACGAATGCACAATTAGTCACAATGTCCTCGTCTACAAAAGAGTTTGTAGGAACAACTAAAACAAAACGAATTGCTCCGTGAGCAGCGTGTGCGCAGCGCGGCGATCACTCGACGAATGACAACATACCTCACTGTAGATAAGACATTGAAAAAGCCAATTGCGTCATTCGAGTACGGCTACGTACGTGTAGAGAGGAAACGAGTGACGTAGCTGAAGCCGTCAGTCAGTTCAGACGCTATTGTCGACCAGTCACACATAAGTCGTCCCAATTTGTTTACAGTATAAAGACAAGTCGCAATATTGTTTGCAACACCACATCATAAACAAATTAACATGCGATGGCTTATAGTACATATTCTAAACAAAAAATGACAGCTATCGATTAATACATTTGTGATACAAATTGCTTAAGTTTTAAAACCAAATTCAATTGGCATTGTTTAGAATATACAGAATTGCACTCATGGATATAAATTTCTACATTTTCTACATGTTCCTATTCAAGTTGGTCGGCTACACCCACGCTTCGGTCAACCACGACATTGTTTGCGGTCATTTTGTATCCAGTGTGTGATGATTTTAACCCATTCTTTCTAGATCATCTACTAAACATATTTCTACATCATATTAAATTTTCTCATCGTAATCAGTGAATGGATTAAGAGGCACGATTGGTGTTTAATATAATTTGTTTATTTGAGAGGTACGTTTTGAATTTAGTTGTTTTCCTAAAATATGTGTGAGTTGGGATGGAAAAACACACGAGTACGGTGTATGACCTTGCCTAGTCTAGGTCACAAATGAACGCGCCATTTCTTCACGAGTCACCACTAAGTTGATGAAATTCCAGTTTTGAAGCACTTGTTTTATATAAATTCGTAATTGTTCGTAAATTTATGTTCTTTTTTTATTTAAACGTCTTGTGATTCGCTAAATGTAGTATATTTCTTACAAAAATCAATACTTATAGTTTTTAAATTGAGCAAGTAATGCAATACATTGTGTTAGTTTCACTACGAGAGATCTTTTATTACAAGGATAATGGTTTATACTTTCCTGTACAAACAAAAATGTATGTACGTTATCTGCTTTATGTGTAAGTAATTAAAATTATCAACTATGTTGTTCTACACAAAGAATATATTAAAGTTAGTAGACAAGTTTTGTGATAGCCTTATTTATCCATAGTAATATTATAGTTATTCAAGTAACTAACTGTTTCTTACATATTTATGGGTTAACAGCAGCATCTTAATGATATTTATTATAATGATAGACTATACCACTCATTTCTTTTATGTTAGGCAAAGTCGCAGGTAGCAGCTAGGTACGCATATAATATGTTGATTCTCAAGATCAATGATTCAATTCTCAAATCTCATTTAGATTTGAAAATGAAAAGTTGATAATTAAATAAAATCTCTAAGAATTTATTGTAAATACTTAAGTATTTAAAATGTACTTTTCATTACTAAACAACTCATTACAATATTAATATTCTTAAGAATAGTATAAAATGATGCCTATATAGTAATCTTCCAAATGCCAATTGAGACAAAATTTTGATTAAAAAACCTAATGATACATTTTTTTCAGGATTGTCACTGTCTGTTTGAGTACCTATAAAAGTACGGTTGAGTCTGGCTAGAACACGTTTCTTTACAATCTTATTATCGAAATGGCGTTTCGGTCTACGTGTTTTTGTTTCAGAATTGCTACTCCTAACTTTAATAATATTGTTTGACTTTAAAATCGTATACTAGAATTTATGTTTAGACTATTAAAATAAAAACAATTTTTGGAACCATTATGTTTTCAATTCTCTTTGTTGTATTTTAAAATTGATTAATTAGTAGAATAATTGACATAATGATGGTTAGTTAAACTGAATCAATTAATATGCTTTAACAGCGAAGAATGAACTTTATGTAGTAATGGGATCCAAACATAACCATACGAAATTACTGATATACGAGTAATATTCCATTACTCATGTAGGTATCATAGATAAAGGAGCTACATATTATTTAGGTGACTCACAAACTCACGCAGCCCGAAATTTTAAAGTACTGTTCTAATAATTTAGCAGCAATTATTGACAGACTAAAAGGAAATATTTATGTTAAAATAGTCAATTGAAAACATCGTATAATGATTTATAACCCCTTAAACCCCAAAGATCATGATTTTCAATTTGACCGACAACAACAAAATCTTCGTGTGTTATTTGATATTTGTGACTAATTTTCTGGTGAATATGGTTAAAAAACTAAAGCCGAATGACAGCGGCAGGCTCTGCCACATGTGATTTAAAAATACCCAGCGCGATATGGGCATGTCAACTGCTTGCTGTATTCTTCACGACGTGGACTATTCACAAGCATTGACTTGATTGTTAAATCGCGGAGCTATACTGTTACTATTTCATATGATTCCTCTTACAGACGAGAATAGAATACGAAATCGAATATTAATTTTGGGGAAGTTTAAATTACTTATTCAGCATTTAATGCTATAAAAATAACAATTGGCGTTTGATATGACTCGGGACCCGAAGGGCTTCGAAAACTGCTATCAAACAGCTCACTATGTAAACCTAAGCCCTTGGCTTTCATGAATCGTTATTGTTACGCTACGCAAATTGGAAAACGTTTTCGGTGTCCAAGCGATATTAATTACACCAAAATTGATTATACTGGTGGCCCTTGCTACATTTAGAAACTTTTGACGAATATAGGTTGGAAATGTTATCTCCTTTAATATATTTTTTATAGATTATTGCTATTTATAATGTTATTTTAATTAGATCTGTTAAGAGACAATCTTTACATAAAATACCTATATGACAGTCATCACAGTATTACATGAAGTAATGATTTGTATTCGGAGTCTTGAAAGATTTAAATTTATTCAATTATACAATTTATTATTCATTGTAACATGTAAGAATTAACCAACTAGGAATAATAATTACGACTAAAAGTGTTGCATAAAGTAGCATATAACAACGTAAGAAAATTAAAGATTAATTTTTTGACTAAAAGCGTTGTATAAAGCAATGTAAGCCAATAATGTTTAAAAAATATCTTGAACTGCAGTTGGGGTCGAGTTGTTGTTTTTTCGCGGCGAATACGCGACGACAGTGTGCCGGGTGTGCCGACCCACGTTTCGTTCTAATAAATCTTGCTCGACTCGAGGCTACCTCCTACCTGCACTTTCTTTTCTCTGTCTCACACGAGTGGCGTGTGTACTATGAATTCACTGATGCTTAAATGTTACCAATATGGGGGACAGTTTTATTACAATAAATACGTTTTATGTCTACCACTTTACAATTCTCAGATTTTCTAAACTAGAGGAAAAAATTCTTCTAGTGTAGATTTGTTTTTGTACTTATTCGTTTCTTAAGATTTTGTTTTATATTTTACCTTGTTTCTTTATACTGTACTAAAATAGAAATAAAGAAACAATTATTGAATTTCGCAAATACAATGATGGCATTTTAATATTCTTTAATTCATAAATATTTGGCATCATTTACAGTACTTGGTAACACTTAATTAGTTAACTATTAATAGTAAAGCTTACGTTATTTATATACCACATAATACTATTAACTGTTATTAATAATAAAACATATTTCATTACTATACCCTTAATATCCTATATTTCTGTGTCGTTAGCCAGTTTATTTTATTAATACCTAAGTATATACGAGTATAATTAGTGTACTATTTCTATTGTACGTGATTTTTCAACTTCACCCATGATTAGTTGACCATTAACAGAAGCAGAGGTTTCTATTCACGTTTTCACCAATCTATTATGTTTTTGTATTTTATTTTCCTTTTCAATTTTATTTTACTCCCTCTTCCTTTCCATCTATCCTTTTTATTTCTTTACAATGACTATCGCCAATATAATCTAAAATAATTAACATAACATAAAGCATCGTTGAATTCATAAAAATAGTCAGCGAATTTAGATTATTAATATTTTTCTACTTTTTCAGACCCTTGCAAGTTATATGCTCAAAAAAGGAACATTACTGAGATTATTTGTAAATAATAATCATTGTGAGGTAATAAAATTCTTATTTACGAATTTAAACCCTAATATATAGTTGGGTTTGACTGTCACTTCGCTGGTAAACATTGAATTTTCTTTCCTTTCATTTTCTAAGTTACCGTTGACTTTCTAATATTCATGGTACCTAACGTAATTTGTTGAGGCGGTAAAATGATAGGTACTTTATTAACACAATGTTCGTCTATAGTCACACATACACTAGTAGTTGCTTTTTTTTAATAATAAATATATACTGCTATCATGATATAATCGTATCTTTAGTTCAGCTGTAAAGTCTTCTATATTTATTTATTTAACAAAAGAGGTACATGTTATCATTACTATGAGTCAGAATTACTGCAGAGCAATTTGCTAGCAAGATGTTGCTCATATTTTATTATTGCTCTACACC